GTATCTGTATCTGTATCTGTATCTGTATCTGTATCTGTATCTGTATCTGTATCTGTAACTGTAACTGTAACTTTACTAATGGCCTCCATCTAAATATACTTATTCGTGGACTTGAGTGTCCACCTGCAAAGTGCCAACAAATTAACATAGCATTAACCGCTGTTAATCAATTGGATGCAGGAGGCAAGACAATTACGAACTGCCAACAATTTGTCGGCCATGTTATCTGCTATCTTGTTACCTGACTCAAACTGTTGGCTTCAATTTAAGACCAAGCTAACAGACAGCTAATAGGTCTACTTCTCCGAGTTCGCACTCCCAGTCACACACCCAACCACCCTCACGCGCACACACACATACACAGACACGTTCATAGATTGTGTAAGTGGCATTTGAACAGGGTTCATTGTTGTTGCCGCATGACATTGGGTTCAGGCTCTGCCCCGGTCTAGGCTGCCTGTCTATTTAAAAATTGACTTGTTGTTATTTACATGCCGCATTGTTTATCAAAGGTCCCCCTTTAAAACGCTGCTACTCACTGTCTATCGAATGTTATCATTGTCAGCGGCGATAATTGTGGGAAAGGAGGAACCCCGTCTCCTGCCTGCTGCCAATGAGAATTCAATTTGTAAGTGTCAATGACAGTTTAGTAGATGTCACCTATCTGCTACTTTTTCTTTTTTATTCGTTTTTCTGTTTCTTCATCTTCTTTTTTTCGAGTTTCTCACATTTTTATTGGCATTTTGTCCAGTGAACCGAAAATCCCTAGTTGATTTGGGAGAGCAACAAGTTTAGCTAAGGCTGATGACCAGGACAATCGATAAGGGGTGGGGGAGAGAGGGACAGATTCGAATCGGGATGCGATAAGCTAACACCGCGTGACTTTTTGTGCTACTGCGAATGCGACGTGCAGCACAACGGGACATTTAACTGGGAATGTTAACGTATTTATTACCATAATTGCTACAGTTGAAGATACATATATAGTCTGCAGTCTGTAGGTATGTGTGGGGCGGCTTAGCTGTGCAGTTCGCTTGGGTTTGTATGTAATTGAAATCAGTCGCTTAGAAAAATCAATCAAAATTTGCCAGAAGCATTGCCATGGAAATAAATAACAAATAGCTGAGTAAACACCATGTACAACTGAAACAGTTATAAATAATGGAAGAAAAATGGAAAAGATGGGCTTCAAAGTGCATCGTTTTCATTATGAATAGGCTATGATATTTTTCGGATGTTCTAGTTTTCAGCAATCAAAGGTAAAATTTAAAAGTGAATAAATATAAATATCACTAAATTGGTTATCAAGATTTGGTGCCTGTAATCTTAAGCAATCAAACTGTCAAAAGGTAATTTAATGTAGGAAATAAACTTAAGGCAATAATCTATGAAACTTCATGCATGCCTCCCATAAAATAGTCCAATACTATTAGTATTGCTTCCGTTTCTATTATGATTTCATTGCTTTTTGAAATTGTATAGCTTTATAATTATTATAATATATCTGTATTTAATAAAAATGTTTCATTCATGCATTTATTTAATCCTAATTGGTCTAGTACTTAAGCTTCAAGCATTTGATAAAATTCTTTTTTCATGAATGCTTAATATTGTTCAGCTGAAAGCAATGTGATAATGCATAATGCATAAGCTAATGAGAAAATAATGACTAATGACGCTGTCAGCCATTAACGGTGTACAAAGACTCCGCAAAAATTAAAAATGAAGAAGAGAAATGAAATGAGTCTTAATCGGGATTGTAACAGACAAGTCATGCACTTAAAATTACTTCTACACACATACAGATTTATATATGTATGTGCTTTTAAATATATATATGTACATGCTTGTGTGCATGTATGTACAAGTATCTGTATATATTCATGTAATTTCGCACGTGCAATTTTAATGAACTTTTCACACTCATTACACTCAATGGGAGCACACAGACAGCGCAGAGTTGCGAGCTCGACATTCCATTACCCACACACTTGCAGACGGCAAGCACACATACACACGCTCACATTCATACTCACACACGAACATGCACTTTCATATAGGGCATCGTTTAACTTCCGGTTTTGTCGCGTTTTTGTAACCGCACGCAACATCTGCAAAATCATGTCCGATTTCAACAGCTGCTGTTGCTTGACTTTAATATACCCTGTAAATACAAAGACCCTCTGCTTGTCATTATTAATATACAAAAACAAAATGGTCAAACTTAAAAATTACCTTCGTATACTAAGAATCAGCCTACGCTGAAGACATCTCGTACAAAAGTTGTCTGAGTTAAATACAATGTATCCTGTATTCAGTTTGAGTGATTTAATAACACTAGCTGTAAATTAATTCTAAAATTAAAACCTAAAACCTAAAATTTCCTTGCATTATATCAGATTAAATTAGGTATTATTCAAACTGTATTATTTAATTTGGCTTTAGATTAAATTGAAGAATAAATGCAGAGAGTTACAAGACTAGTAATCCAAGTTCTGAAACTAAAT